GAAGTTCACCACCGAGTTAGTTTGATATGTAGATTGATCATAGAGTACAAATCTATAATGAAATAAATGTAAACTTTCAGGAATAGAATTTAGGCAAACGGGGGTTTTAGTCATAAAATTTAGTCATAAGGTAGTTAGTCATAATTTTATGTCGTAAGGGACTTTCGTCATAAAATTTAGGCATAAGGGGTTATAGTCATAATTTTAGTCAAAAGGTTGTTTGTCATAATTTTTAGTCATAAGATTGTTAGGCTTAGTAATGGTAGTCCTCAGGCCTGAGGCCCTGAGGGCAGAGGGCAGAGGGCAGAGGGCAGAGGGCAGAGGGCAGAGGGCAGAAGGCAGGGGCAGAGGGGCTCACACTCTCAAGACTCTCAGCCTCAACCCTCACAGTCACAGGCTCACATGATTATGTGTGATTGTGTGAGTCACGGCCTCAGCCGGGCTCAGCGACTAATAGCCCTCACGAGTCACGGCTCACGGCTCACGGCGGCTCACGCCCGAGCCGGCCCTCTTACTATTAGTCTTTTCCTATCTGTCTAGATTTAGCTTGTCAGATTGTCCGATTGTCAGATAACCCTGTAATAGGACATGGGGCTCGTCCGCTTCTTGTCACGACGATGTACATTTTCATTGGATACAATACGATTGTGACGCCTGGGGTTGTCGTGTTGAAGTACTATATCGCCGTATGACATCGGATGAAGTCCGTGCGGAAATCGACTATGTACATACAGCCTAGGGAGAATATACCTCGATATATAATATATTACACGAGTCGAACATCCAAGGAAACAGCACACTACCATCACATCTGTACTAGCGATAGAAACAATATGACAGCCACCTCTAGTTCTAGTAAGAGAACCTCGTCTCGAGGATTTGATGTGGAGAAATTCAGACATGAAGGCCACGCAATGGTGGACTATATTGCAGACTACTTAGACGCACTGAACACAAAGACTCCGAATAAGACATTCAAAGAAGTGCTGCGTGTCAGACCCGATGTTGAGCCCGGATTTCTAGATTTGGATGTGGATATGATGGAGAACGGCGGCGAATTCGCTGACGCACTCACTGAATTCCACACTAAGGTAGATCATTTTTATTTCAACAACACCAATTCATGGATATATTAATGTTATTTGTCGTTATTAGATCAGGACTGCGGTGGACATATTATTTATTTTTATACCGGGTCATAATCTATGACAGTATAGCAGTGATAACAGAGTGCGGTGCCGGTCTTCGATACGTTCAATGCATATGAGAATGTGTAGCGTTCCTTCTTGGTATCAAATCTTCTCCGGTGCAGTATATAAACAAACCATCTTTTACAAATGTATAAATAAAGATATGTACATCCTTCATATATATATATATATATTTATATTCGTATGAATATATAAATCTATATATATATATATATATATAATATATATATATGTATATATATATATACATAGGAATACGAATATATATATATATATATATATGTATAGGTATGTACGTATATACATCTACATATATATATATAAATGTACAATTATATATTTACAATATATATATATATACGTGTGTGTGTGTATATATATGTGTCAGTATGTGTGTACTTACAAATTCATATATATATATATTTATATATATATATGTATGTATATATGTATATATACATAGTTATGTGTGTATTCATGTCTATACGTATATATATATATATGTATATATATATATATATATGTGCGTGTATGTGTCTACTTATATA